GGGGCTGAAGGAGGGATGTATGGCTGCAGGAGGGTTGTATGGCTGCAGGAGGTGGAGGGAGGGCAGCCTCAGTGGGGGGAGAAGCTCCTGCCTGCAGAAGCATTCCCACCCCCCAGCCCTGCCCTCCCAGCGATGAGGGTTTTCCGCTCCCTCACACCGTGCTGGCTGCAGCCCATGGCCACACATCAACTCCACTCCCCAGAGCTTGCCAGCACCTCCCAGGCAGGATTTCTCTGGGCCCAATTCCCCTCTCAGTTCCCAAAAGGAGCAGAGCTGCCAGGGTGGCAGCACCCCAGTTTTGCGTGCTTTCCTTGGTGCCAGGAGCAGCAGCATCCTCAGGGTCTGCCCTGCCAGCCCTGCAGGCAGTGTTGCCCCTCTACAGGAGCCAGGTCCAGCAGGCAGGGTTGCAGGCAGAGCACAGCTGAGCAGGCAGGACATTCAGCCCACATCCCACTGGGTGACAGTCTGCCGGGCCGTCTGGTGTGACAGGACTACAAGCCAGGGCTGGCTGTGGCTTGGCTGAGCCCCCGGGTGAGCTGTGCTGGGCAGCACGGCCCTAGGGACACGATTATTGCCTGCCCTGAGCAGCACAGCACCCGCTCCAGGAAGCAGGATGCCCGCGGGCTTGCCCCTTTGCTGGGGATGTCCAGCACCACGCTGGAGCCACAGGTCCCCCAGAGCCACCACCGTGTCCCCACAGCTGGAGTCAAAGGCAGGCAAAGGGATCACAGAGCGAGCGCTGCCAGACTGGAAGGTGGCGTTGAAGAGGGAGCGTGAGGAGCACCAGCATCTCCTGGCCGAGTCCTACAGTGCTGTCATGGACCTCACCAAGCAGCTGCAGATCAGTGAGAAGAACTGGAACCAGGAGAAAGTGGAGCTGCTGGCTCGCTTCAAGGAGGAGCAGCAGCAGGCAGAGCAGCAAGCAAAGGATCTGCAGAACAAAATCAACCAGGTATGGTGTCCCCCCATCATGAACGTGTCCTCTTGCCTCTGCTGGTTGCCCCCCTGTGCTTTTCCAAGAGCATGCTCTCAGGGCATGTAGAGGGGACAAGTGGCAAATGGTTTAGCTTGCCCAGAGGGGCATGTGTTGCACACATTGAATGACCACCATGTTCTCCAGTTGCAGAAAGGAGCCAACCCATGGGCACTGAAGCATTCTGAAATGGAGAAGCATGGCAACAACTGGAAAGAGGTGGGCAAGAGAAGGTGGAGGGCTCTCAGGGTGCTCACTGAGCTCAGGTCTATGCTAAGGTTTAGATGGAAGAATGTTTAGGTGTGAACCCCAGATAACACACCCAGGAACAGCAAAGGAGGCTTCAAGGGGGAGCACCAGGGACTGGAGAGAAGAAGAAGGTGTAGAGTATGGCTGAACCCCAAGAGTTTCAGTGCAGTTATAAAAAGCTGTTTTAAAATAGATGTGGGCACAGTGAGCCCCACACAGCCCTGGGAATGGGATGATGGGCCTGGGTGCATGGGAGAAGGTGGTAGTGCTGGAGAGGAGGAGAGTTCAGCCCCTGCTCCAGCCCATCTGTGTATGTTGGCCCTCTGCTTACTGACACCAGAGCTTGCTTCTGTGTCCTCATAGGCTCTCAATGAAAAAATCACAGACAAAGAGACAATCTCTGAAGCAGAAGCCAAGGGAACCAATCTCAAAAGGTGAGTACACTCGTGCCTGCATGGTCGCTGGGGCATGGAGGAGGCTGCACGGGGCTGTCGCTGGACTTGGCAGCTGCAGAAGCCAAGGGGACATGCAGCCACGATCCAGGGTTGTCCTGGAGGCCTTGGGCTCCCATGAGAAGCCAGACTGGGTGCCCAGGAGGGTTCTGTTGGGATGGGAGCAGGGTGCCTTCAGCTGCCCTGTCCCCTTATGAGCCCCCTCCTCTTTCCTTCCACAGGACCAAGTCCGTTTGCTCCATGTCAGAGTTTGAAAGCTTGCTCGACTGTTCTCCCTACCTCCCTGGAAAGACCCCACCGGGGCTGGGTGACCATTCCCGGGGCAAAAAGACATCTGTGGCCACCCAGCTGCTGCCCAATGGGATCCGGGACAGCACCAGCATTCCTCCCTCCAACTGTACATATGTGAATATTGAGCAACCTGTCCCTGGCAGCCTGGCCAAGGAGAAGCTGGGTATCTCCTCCTGGGACTACTCGCAGGCAAGCAGCCTCTCAGGGCATGACCCAGCCCAGAAGCAAATGCAGAGGAGCTACACAGCACCCGACAAGACGGGGATCCGCATCTACTACAGCCCACCGGTGGTGCGGCGGCTGGAGGCCCCTCTGGTGCACAACAAGGAGGGGAAGATCATGATCGAACCCGGGTTCTTGTTCACCATGGCCAAGCCGAAGGAGCTGGAGGAGTCGGCCAGCACTGAGAGCACCTACAGCCAGTGGCTGTGCAACTTCTCCAAGCAGCAGCGGGAGCTGCTGGACG